TATATATATATTACATGCTTTCTGTCAATATGCATTGCTGCTTCCTTGTTACTACAAAACTAGATTTTATCGTTCATTGAGAACCAGCTTAACGGCATAGTTCATCCAAAAATAAAAAAATGGTCTTGTCATTCTTCATGTAGTTCCAATCATTGTATGATTCATCTATTTTTGTCCCCAAATGCATTTTCTTCTGTGTTTCATAGAATAAATAGTCATACAGGTTTAGAATGACATGAGGATGAGTAAATAAATACAGAATTTTATTTTTGGATCAACTATCCCTTTAAATTCTGTCAGATTTATTCTCTTTACATAAAATGGTTAGTACATTCAGGATGACCTCTGATGAGTAATGGTTGTTGAAGTGTACATAAGGGCTGTGTGCTGCTGTTGTGGTTTGATTGCTGAAGAATTTCTTGTGATCCTTGTGTAGGAAACAGCAGTTTTCCCGAAAGCATGCAGTGTAGCCCTTCAGATGTTGACAACTGCTCGTTTATTTGTTGAAAGGAACAATATGGGTTCATTTGGTTTCTACCACAGTATATGCCCACAGGCTCTTTTCTGAGAAAAGGGTAGGTGCTTTACACAAAGTTACGTACCTTTAAAATGATTCCGTCAGATGTAATGTTTTAGACGCTTTGTGATAAACACTGAATTAGTGTTTCAGTTATTTTGTACAGTATTTTTGTTATTTTTGTAATTTTCTCCCACGTATATGTCTACTTTATATTTTTATTGTTAATTTTGTGTTATGTTCCAGTGTGTGATGAATTATATGAACTTTATGCACCGGGGTATCTAAAAAATTTACACTGTGGATGAAATCCTAAAATCTCATAACACATGGAATGGGCTTGGACGGTCTGTGCATAGCTCAGTTTCTAATAAGCAGAGAATTTAAATCCTAAGGAGCCGATCAATGGTTTTATTTTAATTGTATTACAGTTGAATTGTATTGTATTACAACCAACACACCATCCCTTTCAAATGGTGACGAATATGATTAAATGTTGTGGTGTATGATGATTCTGCTGCTGCTTTGTCCTGGTGTTTGTGTTCGTGCTGATTTGTCTGAGGGGTTTTTGTGAACATTGTTATCTTCTAGTAGCCTTGGGCGATTCCAGGGATTGCATTTCCTCATGACTTGTTGAGATTCTAGTCTGAGGTTTAGATGTCATGCCTGGTGCTGCAATAAACAATTATCATGGAAAACCTGTCAGATGTGCTGTTTTGGATTTATTTGTAGTTATTTTAAATGTTCTTTTGTAATGTTTAGTTTATGAGTCATGACAGGATATAAGTGTCCATGATAAAAGGAAATTTTCCCTTTGAAACATTTGCCAAGTTCTTAGAAAGTACTCTTTGGTATTATGTTCAAAAAAAGATTTGAAATATTAACTATCGTTCAAAAATTTGTGGTTAGTAGGATTTTTTATAAATGCTTTAAAAAGACACCTTTTAAGCTCACCAAGGCTGCATTTATTTATTTTTTAATAAACCCCCCCCCCAGCAATATTGTAATTAAAATGTCATTTATTCCTGTAATGGAAAAACTGAATTTTCAGCAGCCATTACTTCAGTCTTCAGTGTCACATGATTCTTCAGAAATCATTCTGATGTTTCTATCAATGTTGAAAACAGTTGTACTGCTATTTTTGTGAAGACTGATCATTATGTTTTACATTTCAGGATTCTTTGTTGAATGTTTCAAAAAAGAATATTTGAAATACACTAAAATGCTGGGTTAAAAAGGGACTAACCCAGCTATTGGTCAACCGCTGGGTCAAAACAACCCAATAGCTGGGTTTGTCCCTTTTTAACCCCGCATTTTTTAGAGTGTAGAAATTGTAAAATTATGTCTTTACTATGACTGATCAATTTAATAAAAATAAAAAAATTAATATGTAATTGTTTGGGGTCATGACATTTTACAGCCTGAACTAGCCATAAAAAAAACAAGATTAATTAATTTTAGATATTAAATATGTGCTCATAGATTACTTTAATCATTTGTGTATCCATGTGATTAAAGTCTCATTCAGAAAACATGCTTCAGTGACTGTCAGTCTGACGGGTCTCTGAGCTGTATGAATTGAAGTCGGTTGATATAGTGTCACT